GAGATCGGGCGGCGGCCGTCACCGGCCTGGCTCCAGTGGCCTGGGTCCCCCTCCTCGTCCTGCTCTCCCCCCTTCGCCCTCCTCCTCGTCCTCATCCTCCTCCTCCTCCTACTACTACTCCTCCCGCCCCTCCCTCCCCTCCCTCCCCCTCCTGCCCCCCTCCTCCTCCCTCCTACCTGCGACCCCGTAGACCTGGCCTGGCACGGAAACGGAAAGAGCGCTTCAGAAGCAGAAGCCGAAATTACTCACACCACCGTTCGTACGCGGAGCCTTGGCGTTGAGAGCTTGTTACGTCACCCCTCGCTCTTGGGAGCCTTGGTGTTCAGGGATTGTTGCGTTGCCGCCCGTTCCTGAGCCTTGGCTGGGCCTTGGTGTCAGGAACTTGTTACGTCACCGCTCTCTGCTGGGAGCCTTGGTCTTATCAGCTTGTTTACGTCACCGTTCGCTCTTGGGAGCCTTGGTGTGAAGAGCTTTTTGCGTTACCGATCGCTCTTTATTTGGCGTCTCTGGGCCTTCTTGAGTTCTTTGGGGCCCTTTTGGAACCCTTTTGGGGGCCTCTTGGGAGCCTCTTGGGGCTTCTTGGGGGGTTCTTGGGGCCTCCTGGGAGCTTCTTGGGGCGAAAAGATAGACTGTTCGGTTCGTGGTCCCGCTCTTGGGGCCGTCTTGAGGCCCTCCTGGGCCGTCTTGGGCGCCTCTTGGGCCGTCTTGGCGCCCTCTTGGGCCGTTTGGGGGGCCTCTTGGGAGCCTCGAAGGCCGTCTTGGGGCGGTCTTGGGGGCCCTGGACGGTCTTCAACGCCGTGAACGCCGAAAAACTGTGTATGCTAAAAATGTACGTGATCCTATAGGGAATCAATCATTTTGGCCTTCTGGTGACCTCGTGGGACGCCTCGTGGGGGCCTCTTGGGGCCTCTTGGGGGCCTCTTGGGGCCTCCTGGGAGCGTCTTGGGGCGAAAGGCTAGACTTTTCGGTTCGTGGTCCCCCTCTTGGGGCCGTCTTGGGGCCCTCTTGGGCCGTCTTGGGCGCCTCTTGGGCCGTCTTCGCGCCCTCTTGGGCTTTGGGGGCCGGAGGAGGAAGAGGAGGAGGAGGAGGAGGAGGCGGAGGAGGAGGAGGAGGAGGAGAAGAGGAGGAGGAGGAGGAGGAGAGAGGAGGAGGAGGAGGAGGAGGAGGAGGAGGAGGAGGGAGGAGGAGGAAGAGGAGGAGGAGGAGGAGGAGGAGGAGGGAGGAGGAGGAGGAGGAGGAGGAGGAGGATGGAGGAGGAGGGAGGAGGAGGAGGAGGGAGGAGGAGGAGGAGAGGAGGGAGGAGGAGGAGGAGGAGGGGAGGAGGAGGAGGAGGAGGAGGAGAGAGAAGGAGGAGGGATGAGGGCGGAGGAGGAGCGGCGGAGGAGGAGGAGGAGGAGGAGGAGGAGGAGGAGGAGGAGGAGGAGGAGGAGGAGGGCGGAGGAGGGCGGAGGAGGGGAGGAGGGCGGAGGAGGAGGAGGAGGAGGAGGAGGAGGAGGAGGAGGAGGAGGAGGAGGAGGAGGAGGAGGAGGGAGGAGGAGGAGGAGGAGGAGGCAGGAGGAGGAGGAGGCGGAGGAAGAGGAGGAGGATGAGGAGAAGGAGGAGGAGGCGGCGGCGGCGGCGGCGGAACTGCGCATGGACTCCGTGCAATCCGGAATCTGGCAGAGCGATCGGGTCGTTGCCCGAACTTCTTCTGAAGGCTTTGGCCCCAGTGCTAGGGGGGCGGCCCCGACCGAGCGTGTCCGGCTAAGCACGCCAAGGGGAGCGGCGGGCTCAGCCGAAGCACCGGGCGCATCTCACGCCTACTCGTCCTCTCCCAGATCGAGGTTGAGGTCCTTGAAGAGGTCCTGGGCCATCCTCTCCAGGGCTCCCCGGGGGGCCTGGCCGAAGTGCTGCTTGCATTTCGTGCCCCGGAGGTGCTTGATCACGATATTCTCTAGCTCAACGTATCTCGGGTGCACACGAATGAAGAGCTTCACCTGGTTGGAATTGTACATCTTCTGCAACTTGCAACATGGGACGGCCTCCTGGCGCTCGTCGCTTGCCGGCCCGCCTCTGGGGTCACTGGGCGGCGGGTGAGCCGCGAGGAAAGTCCGGATCTTCGCAAAGTCTCCTTCTTCAATGTGCTCTGACGTGCTGGCCTCAATCAACAACACTATGAATGCCATGGGTCTGGGCCGCCCTCGTCGTGGCCACTCTTGCCTTTCGTGCGGTCGGCGTGGATCTTGTGCGCCTTCCGGACTCCCTGCGCTGCCGTGCTGTCCGTTGCAACCCGGAAGCAGATGAACACGACTGCCATGAGCGTGCGTACCTCTTGCTTCGTCTGGAGGCACAGCTTCACGAGGATGGACAAGAGCTCCTTGATCTTGTCCCCGTCTTCGGCGCTGCCGCCGCCCCGCCTCTTCCGCGGGGGTTCGGCGGCACCTCCGCCCAATAAGGACGCCCATGCCGCGTCAGCCATGCTACTCTTCGGGGACTGCGCCCAAGTCGATCTGAAATGTGTCCGGTAAGTGAGAAGCCAGATGCCACAGCAGCGGAGTGGCAGACTCGAACTCAACGTCGCAGATACGGCAAGAGTAAGGAGGAGGAGCAATGATCTCATGACAGATTGCACTCCCTCTCTCCCATCGAACGTCGCAGAATCCTCGTTGCAAGCTCCTTCGCAGATGATGTCTCGTAATGTTGACGGATGAATGGATGGCCCGGCACGCACGACGTTGATTGACGCGGGCCAGCGACGCAGCAAGTGTACCGTAGCCGTGCCTCCCCCCAAGCGGACTGTGTATCTGATGCATCCGGGTCGCCAGTTTACTCCGGAAGCGGCGGCGACACACGGCACCGTCGTCACACGTAAGTCGGCACTCCCATTCTTCCTCCCCGTCCTCCCCCAAAACTGGTCCTCCATCGGCCCCCTGCTCCGCTGGTTTGTACTCCTGCTCCTGAAGGGAATGCTGCTGCTGCTGCTGCTGCTGCTGCTGCAATGGTGGAGCCGGGGTGGAGGAGAAGCGAGGCGCACCTGCAAAATACACCACATCCGATGACAATATTCCCACGTCCTGTTGTAGAAATTCTGCACGGCACACGGGAGACTGAAATAATTGCAAAGGTCGGTCGGCACACTCCGAAAGGCGATGGCTTCCTGAAGCGAACGCAAGGGCCTGGATATCACGAGCGCACTGCAAGGCCCATCTGTGCGCGGTCGCGTGCATCTTGCCATCACTATCGAGGGTGGGTTTGACGTCTCCGGGCAAATCTCCAAAGAACGCAGCAATGAGGCATTTGTATTCGCTGGGGTGCCCGACAACACGCTGCCACATCTTGAGGCACCTTTGTCGGAGAGACACTGCAAGCGGTATGAGGCCCAACTCCCGACACACCCTGTCGTTTGTCCAGGCCCTGTATTTTGTAGACCCGTCGTCTTGTTGGATTTTGTCGCAGGCTCCTCGTATGACCTTCCGGGCAAGAGTGATGAGTTCTCTGTCCAGCGCCAGTGTGTCTGCACTGGAGAGAATAAGCGCGTCCAGGCCACTAAGCCCAGCACCAGACACCATGCATTGGAACACTGTTTTGCTCCAGAGTCGGCGTGGCGATCGTACCCAAAACTTACCCAATGCCCCATAGCCCCGTCGGATCGCCTCGAGTCGTTTGCCTCGTTCGAAAGCCACGGAAGATCCAGCAGACAAGTGTGGTCCCAAGTACCGCGCAACATGCAAGACAGTCCCTGGCAGCATAGATGGTTCCTGGTAGACCACTCTCGTGTACTCGTCTGCCCTGGCACCACAAAACTTGACCAACGATTCAGATTTCCCGGGATTGTGTTGCATATTCCGTGTTGCGAACACACGCGTGCACGTCCTGGCATACCCATGCGATTTCCCACGGAGGTCAAAAGCATCTGAAACCTGGTATGTTTTGCTGGAGTCGTCTGCGTATGATTGTAAAGACGTGTCCACTGTGCATCCGTCCTCCCCCACATCCTCCCACACACTCCCGCCCCACGGGCACTCGAACAACACGCGCATGTCGGGGTGGGCGGAAGTGATTTCGTCCAGACAAGCGTGGTAAGGCGCCAAGAACCAAGGTCCAGCGATCGAATCTCCTGGGAGGGTGCCGGTGCCCACCTTGTATACGCGATCCCCCCCTGTGGAGTCGTCGATGACGGTGCACGCGTGCTCCAAACGTTGACACACATGCCTGCGATCAACAGGATTGCTAAATGCACGAGCTGCGTACGGCTCCAGATCCTCGGCGTGCCGCGGGCACGCAAACGCATTCGATAGATCCAGGAAATCAGTGGCGTGGGACCGTCGGTTAGCCGCCAACCTCTCACGGGTAATCGCAACCGTGGTGATAGCCTGCTCCCGTCCACGATGCCGCACATACCCACAAGCATAGTCTCGGTGGTAGGAGTGTTCCCCCCTGTCCCACAAAGCCTGGTATAATGTTTTAGAATAGGAGTCCGCTGTATGAACCGCCCGTTGTCCTCCCAACCCCTTCTTGCGATTAGGCTTCGGTAAATGAAAACAATGCGTTTTATGCCAAAGCAAAGGAGTTTCATACGATGTTTGCATGTGCACGTGCAGCTGTAGCACAACCTGTTGTAAGCGGTGCGCAGTCCCAGTAGGAGGTCTCGAACGATCCCGGAGACGCTCACGACACAACAGCAACCTCCAAATCCCCACTGGAAATCCCCATTTGGGCGGTGTTTTCCGTAAGGCAACCCGTTGTAGGTGTCGTTTCGTATGTCGGAACGATTCGCTCGCTCGAACAAGATCCTCTTCCGATGCCAAAGCCACGCCAGAAGCCTGCGTAGCGCCGGCTTCCCCCTCCCTGGACTGCACCAGACGATCGAACTCAACCACGTGAGCATAAAACCCCCCTTGTGATCCGGATTGTTCGTAGTGCGCCACGAGCTCATCGGGAGAGAACGCTGGTGAGGACAATGCACAAAACATACGTTGTTTGGGCCCCATTCCTTTGTCAATGAGTTGCCGTGACACCTG